TGCCATGGTGATCTGGCAGCAGTGTTCAGGTGTGGCACCTTTGTCTGTGTGTGTTGAGTCACTGTCTCACCTCAGACGGGACACACCTCACACACACACACACACACACACACACAGCTGAAATCAGTGCCTGCAGGCCAAGAGTTTTAACACACACATACACACACACATAGCACTTCATCACACACACTCACTGCTCAGCAGACACACACAGGAAACTCTGCACTGCTTGTTTATGAACTCAGATCTCATTCACTGATTGTATACAAATCTGAACATTCAGCTCACAGGAGCTCTCAACCTGAGCTAAAGCTGCTGGTTAGTGCTGGTTAGTACCACATCACTACCACAGGACATGAATACAGTGTTCATCTGTCTCATATATCATAATAATGAATCATGATTACATTCCATCTCCGTTACTTTGAGGATGTGAGTGTGTCCTGAAATAAAAGCCGAACACACACGGCACACACTGCATTTGAACACATAACACACACAGAACGACAGCATTCACACACTAACGGGTGAGTTACGGTAAACTATTGCATTAACCCGGATTTAACTGTCATTCAGCTGTGTTTCAAAGAAAGCCTGACAGTGTTTTATTCATTTAGATCCATATATTGTCTGGATGAAGACGTGGATTTTTCTTTCACTCGCAGGTTTGTTTTTAATCACACACTTACAAAAGCCAAAATGTATGATCAATATTAACTTTACAGTTTTTGTCAATCTTTTGAATTTGATTTTATGTTTATATTTACATTACATTTTAGTAATCTTGTTTGCTATTTTATTAGTTTTGTTGTTTTTGAAATACGTCTATACAGTTTTTACCTTTTTTTTACAGTTTTAGTTATTTTAGTACTTCAACCTGAACTAGATGAAAATGTTCCCTTGGAAACGAGATGAAATCAAAATAAGCTGAAGTTATTTTATTAAAAAAAATAATAATAAATCTTGATTTTTAACTATAATAACCTTAACATGGATATGACATTTGTATAAATTCGTATGCTCTAAAAAACGTTATCGTCAAAACATTTGAACTTTCATAGCCTTGAACGTCTAAAAGCATTTATAAAAATGTATGAATGTCTATTTGTGTGTTCATGAATGTTTATGTGTTAATAATTGTCTATGTGTTTATTAATATGCATATATGTACCATAGTGAAATATGTATTAATGTTATGCTATTTGAACATTATGCATTATGACAAATCAATTGCATTCTTGAAGTAATCTGTAAATTAAATGCTACATAAACATCCTAATCAAAAGCAGCATGATTCTACTATGGTTTTGTGGTGAAGTGTTGTTCTGTGAGGTGAATGTGACGGTGTTGTGTTATCTTCAGCTCTGTCTGCGGTGTGCACGGGACAGCATGACTGCAGGCGCGGGGCGTGTTACCCTGCGATGGGCGACCTGCTGCTGGGCAGAGAGCAGAGCCTGCGCTCCTCCTCCACATGTGGTCTGATGGGGTCTGAGGTGGTCTGCACTCCACACGGACAGGTGATACTCGTCTAGACCTGCAAAACACAAGGTTCTCTCAGTTAGAAGCGTATCTTGGGTGTGGTTCTGCGTGGAAGCTAAAATGTGAGAACAAAACCCGTCTCAAAAGGTGCACTAAGCGATTTTTACCAAACGATGTTGATATTCGAAAGCACCCCCAGTGTTAATTTTGACAGGCATTTTTGATTTAGTCTTACGCCCCATTCACACCCCATGCATCAGCGTCAACGCTTCTCGTTTAATTTGAATGGAGTGATGTCAAGCGTTGGCGAAATGAACTGTGGGTCCGTCGCGTCGCGTTGGGTCCGTTGCTCACGGCAGAAGTTGAAAACTTTTCAACTTTTCAAGCGCCAATGCAGGCGTCAGCCAATCAGAT